GCCACAAGCCGAAAGGCGAAAATTGAGTAGTGTCCGGTACTTTACAGGTACTGTATGTACAGGTACGGTATAGATACTGCACAGAGTGGCCGGCTGCACGCCATACACAGTCCGCGTCACCAAGTTCTAGTGTAGTACCAAGTTCTAGTGCTGACGCGGACTGTCGCTAGAACTTGGTACTACACTAGAACTTGGTGACGCGGACTGTCGATGGCGTGGAGCCGGCCACTCTGTGCAGTATCTATACAGTACCTGTACATACAGTACCTGTACAGTACCGGACACCACTCAATTTTCGCCTTTCGGCTTGTGGCTTTCAGCCACGAGCGCCGCCGTCCGATTATATACCTGCGACTACCACCTCTCTCGATCCAGCGAGGGCAAGAGGGAACCTCACTTTACTTTTACCTGCGCCGAAGCGTAGAGCCTCGATCCCCTTAGCGTCTCTACCCACACTACCGCTGCGACGCAACCTGACACCACCTTCCCTCGTCTCAGCTTGGACTGAGATCGCGCTGTTGACATCAGCCCAGAACCCTCGTGTACAGCGACACGGACGCTCATCCTTTCTACGATCTTCCCGGAAGATCATGGTGAAAATTGCGTCACTTTCCGCGCATACTACCCTTCGAAGGGTAATTGCCTGGCCCCGTGCCACCGCCGGCAGGCCAGGCCGCAGGCCAGGCCGCCACGGAGACACGTGGCGGCCACGGGCACCAGTGCTGCACTACAGTAGAAATATAAAAACACAGCCCGATCCGCTTCGTGTTCGCTAGTGTCTATTGGACGGACGTTTTTGATCATGAGGATTTTTCCTGTCTGTCAGAGCATTAGAAAGACCCTCCTAAATACCGTGCATTCTAGGTGCCTTCAAGGGACTTGGACATTGTTTTTTACTCTTACTGTTAATGTTTCGCGGTAACTATGGCTTTCAGTTCTCCCTCTTTGCGCCAGAAACGGCGCGGCAAAAAAGCCTCATACAGTATGAGGCGAAATCCTCAAATGAGGCGCATTGTCCAATAGACACTAGCGATCCCGGCGCACACCGTCTACGCAAAACCAGTAAGGCCCGCTCTAGAGATTGCGTGGACACCGAACAGCCTTCACAGACCTTAGCAACACATACATGAACATACAGATCTTAACTACAACGCAATCAAGTGAAGAAGATGGGAGCGCAGAGGATGCGAGAGAGAGAAGGACTGTACCCTCTGTCGTTGAGATCGCGGAATTGTTTGGAGAGCTGCAAGTTTTGGTGACTGAATGCCAAGTTTCAGACGCTCTATCGTATCTGAGGTGGACAAAGCACGCGTTTCTCACTGCAAAACACAACAGAGACCCAACGCGGAGCAGGCAGACGTACAGTACTGTACGGTAATAATTACCGAGTGCATGAAAATCCTGTAGATGTGACGACGCCACCTATTAATGCCGTCTCCCAATAGTGCTATTTTTGGGATCTCGCACGGGGCGACACTAATGGGTAGGGTACCCTGTACCCCCTTCCTGCTGCCCCCTTTCTGCTACCCCCTTTCTGCTACCCCCTTCCTGCTGCCCCCTTTCTGCTACCCCCTACCTTCTGCTGCCCCTGTAGCAGGAAGGGGTCGTGATATAGTGCCATCTTTGTTAGTGCCAGCTCTGATATAGTGCTACCCTTCTAGGGGTGGCACGAATTTTGAGCCAAAAACGAAGGGTCTCCAGAGAGGCAAGGCAGTTGGATGGACGTACTGCCCGAGAGCCGCTGCCGCCGTGGAAAGATATTATGCAGTTGCTTACTAGAATAGAGACTATGGCGGAAAAAGGCACGGTCGATGATGCAATTGGACATCTGCAAAAGTGTAGGCTGGCATTTATGGCTGCGAAAAAGGAGGGAGTCAATGCGACGGCTCGGCAGCTACTAACAACATAAATGCTTGATTAGACTTGAGTCTGTAGTGAAGATGCAAAGTATGTGTGATGGCGTCCTGCGAGCGGTCTTTCAGAGCAGTGATGCAAGGGAGTGGTGGCTGCAAAAAAGCCGTAAATCTCATTATCTTACAGTGCCTGGTTCGATATAGTGCCGTTTTCGGCCCACTGACACAGGGTAGCACTATATCGCGACCCCTCCCCCTCCCCCTGTACCCCCTTCCTGCTACCCCCTTCCTGCTACCCCCTTCCCGCTACCCCCTCTCTTCCTTCCATGTCTGTTTCTCTTGCCCGCCCAGCCCCGGCTGCGCCGCCCGCTTGGTACTTTCCTTTCTCATCACGTCTTTTTCTGTTTGTTTTGCTGTGTAATCGTTTGCGTAGCCTTTGCGCGTCCTCTCTTACCCGATGTCCTCATGAATAAGCCCAACGTCACTTCGGGAACACCTTATCCACGAGTCGGTTATGCTCCTGTATCCCGACCACCTCGTTTGCGGCAATAAGCCCCGCCGCCGCGCTACTCGGCACCCCAATCCCGGGGAACGCCGAGTCTGAGCACCGCTTGAGCCTCTCCACAGGCACGTCGCCAGGCCACTCGAACTCGGCCTCGCCGGCGTCGATCGCCGCGCCGTACGTCCCGCGATACCTGCGCGTAAACCGCGCGTGCGTCACCGGGCTGCCGAGCTTCATCACCGCCCCTTCGGCCTGCAGCCGCTCGTCCAGGTCTGGGATCACGTGCCGCACGGCTGCGAGCAGCGGCTCGGCCGCCTTCTTCTTCGCGTCGCCGTACGCCGCCCGGTCCTTCGCCAGCGCCTCCCATCCGTCGTACGGCTCCAGCGTGTACGCGTGCACCACGTGCCACCCCTCCGGCGCGAGCCCCTCGCTCCACACGGTCGGGATGCTGATCATCACCGTATTCCCACGCGCCGTGATGTCGCGCCGCGAGTCGAGGATCACCGCGTGGTGCCCGATCACGTCGCCGAGGCCGCCGCTGGGGATGCCCAGGTGCGCGTGCATGAACGACTCCACGGTCGGCGTGCCCATGGCCTGCGCACGGTACGCGTCGGGCACCGCGCCCTCCGGGAGCAGGTGCTGCACCGTGTCCCAGAGGGAGGCGTTGGAGAACACGTGCTTAGCGAAGATCCTCTTCTTTTTCCTCGTGCGCACGCCGACGGCCGTGCCGCGCTCGACCAGGATCTCCTCCACGTGCGCGCGCAGGCGGACCTCGCCGCCCTTGCGCGTGACGCCGCGCACGAGCGCGTCGACGACCGCGCGCGCCCCGCCCACGGGGTACTCGATCGCGCCGGGCTTGGCGCGCTCGCCCACCATGAACGCGATCTCGGCCGTGATCGTCTGCTCGGTCTTGAGCCCGGAGAGCAGGAAGGCCTCCGTGTCGAGCAGCTGCTTGACAAAGCCGTCGCGCACGCCCACGCGGTCCATCACCACCCGCACGGGGCGCTTGATGGAGGCGACGTACGGCGCCAGCCGCGCCAGGCTCCCCGCCCACCGGCGCAGCACGACCGGCGCGACGCGCCAGTCGCCGCGCAGCGCGATGGCCGGCACGTCCATCGCCGCGTGCATGGCGCGCATCTCGGCGTAGAAGCGGGCCAGCTCGCGGCGCGCGGCGTTCCCTGCGATGCGCTCCACGCTGGCCAGCGTGACGGCCTCGTCCGTGCACACTTCAACCGTGCCGCGCCGCACGTCGTCGATGCAGAAGCGGTCGTATGACACGCAGTGCACGCGCTCGTCGACGGCGTCCAGCGCGTGCTTCACCGGGCACAGGCTCCCCGGGGTGGAAAGGCCGCAGAAGAAACTCGGGCCTGTGTCGAAGTGGAAGACGCCCGCGGTGGTTTTCGCTTGGAAGCCGTGGGCGACGCCGCCCGCGGCGTAGTGCGACTCGAGCACGAGCGTGCGGAAGCCGTAGGCTGTGAGGGCCGCGGCGCAGCTCAGTCCGCCGAAGCCCGAGCCGATGATGACGGCGTCCCAGTGCTCATCTTCGGTGGCGGCGTCTGTGGCCGAGGCCGTTACAAGCGGTGAGTTGGGGAGACGGTGCGGAGAAAGGAGGAATGGTTTTCGTGAGGATCGGGGAGGGAGGAGGAAGGTTTTGCGGAGGGCGGAAGGGTGGGCGGCGGAGAACGCGATAGGGGGGGCGGAGACGGGCAAGAAGGCAGGTGAGGCGGGCGGCATCACAGGGTGAGGATGGGAGGGGCGATGACGAAAGAGATGCAGACCAAGATGAGCGGGAGAGAGGAGCACTCCGGTTACCTTCGGTTGCGTGGATGATGAAACCACCGATCACACCTCCTCCCCAGGCGTCTAAAAGTTTCCATTTTTCAACCCCAATGCCTCGCTGGACACCTTGAGCCGCCTCCTTGATCTCGCACCTGCCACCACCGCAAGCCCGTCACCGCACCCTCCCTCCATCCCCCATCGCCATGCTTCTCTTCGCCCCACCGACGCGCCTCTGCCCGGACCGTCTCCTGCGCGCGCCGCACGGCCGTCTCCCCTGCTGCCCGCGGCGCGCGTCGCCGCGCCACCTCTCCATGCGGGCGGCGGACCCGCTGATGGAGAAGCTGGTGGCCGCGTGCACGGGCCGCGGCGTCGACCGCATCATCGCGCAGAAAGTCCTCTCCTCGGCCAAGTCTGCCATGCGCGACTGGAGCTGCGTTGTCTCGGACTTCCTCACCCCGCCCGAGAGCGCCGCCCTCGTCGCCACCCTCGCCCAGCTGCCACGCCTCTCCGCCCACGCGTGGGGCGGCTACCCGGACGCCGAGCGCACCGCCGTCGTCTGCGCCCACGAGGACGTCGCGGAGGACACCGCCCAGCTGCTGCGCCTCGCCGCCCCGCAGTTTTCCCTCCTCTCAATCGCCGGCGACTTCGAAGGCGGGAAAGGTACCGATGCACCTCTTCGCCCGCCCGCGCCGCGCGCGCGCGCCTCACGCCCTTGCCCGCCTGCTCACGTCTGCCGTGCTCCCCCTGCGTGCTCTTGCTTCTCTCGTGCGTGCCATCTTCCCGCGCGCGTGTGCAAGTCGCCCACCGCGACGTCATGGGCGCCGTGCTGCACGCGGGCGTGTCGCGCGCCAAGATCGGCGACATTCTGGTGGAGGAGGGCGTCGGCGCGCAGGTCGTCGCACACGCAGACGTGGCCGCCTTTCTGGAGGCGCAGCTGGTCAGCGTGCGCGACGTGAGCGTTCTTGTGGAGAGGCGCCCGCTGGAGGAGATCCGCGTGCCCGAGAGGCGCGTCAAGCTCATACAGACAGTTGAGGCCTCCATGAGAATCGACGCCGTCGTCAGCGCGGGCTTCAAGATTAGTAGGTCGAAACTCGCCACGATGGCGAAGAGCGGACTCGTCTTCTTGAATTATACAGGCGTGAAGGGACCCGCGAAAAACGTCAAGGAGGGAGATGTCGTCTCCGTGAGGGGTGTCGGGAAGCTTAAGATTGCTGAGTGCTCCATGACAAGCAAGGGGAGATACCGCATCTCGATGGAGCGGTATATCTAGACTGGAAATTGAAAAAGAGGCCTAGTGACCACGCTCACATACCGCTTTTGGAACGTCGCTGCGGTGGTCTGGTGCACCGCTACGGTCCAGAACACAGCGGCTGGCTCTCAGTCGCTCGCGTGACCATGAGTCCCTCATCAACAAGCCTTGAGTTTTATGCGAAAGATGTTAAGCCTCCCACCGACACGTTGTAAGTTGCTACAGCTATCATGAGCGCGGTATATTTCTCCGCCGTCTTTGCACGGATGCAGATTTGTTTCTCACTTTCTTGACACTACTTCGAGTCTTATTTAACAAGTGAACGCATCGCTGCACTTTTGGAGCCAAGCTCGGACCACATGATTCCCGATGATCTGTCTTTCAAGTGGTACTGCAACATTATTATACATAATTGATAAAAAATTGTATAACAGAAGCGCCAGATGCTCACTAACGTTGTCCGCAAAGTAAACGCGTGTTTTTGGTGCAGAAACCAAAACTGATGGGTCGCAAAGTCAATTATATAACTGGAAATTCAACCACGAGTTTTCATAAGCCGTGTGCAGCAGGCCTTCTCGATGTCATAATCAGCCTGGAAGGCGCTTCAACCCATCCTCATGTGAAATTTCGTACAGCCCAAACAGCCCAAACAGCCCAAACCAGTGCAGTATGGCCGTTGACGACTCATCATCTTCTGACTCAGAAACAGATATCGCTTTGAGCACACGGCCCGTTCTACAGAACCTGATTTCCATCTCAAAGCAACACCAGTAAGCCGCACAAGCCTCGAGCATGCACATCAACCTATTTGACGACACAACAGGAGATGTGGATAAGCAGGAATTCTCCGTGAACCTCTTGTCTCCTAAAATCGAGCATCTACAAAGTCTTCTCGACGCTCATAGCAGTATCTCTAAGTCCAGAACAGGATTCTATCCGTCGGAATGGGAGCGATTGTGTCCAAGGACTTTCCCCATTTTGCTAACAGTCGGGCGACTGGGTTGCCCAAACGCAAAACAGGACGCCCTACTAAACTTGGTCGTTTTGTAGCAATGCGAGAGACGACTTCGATAGATCCAGTCTCAATGGCAAGGCCATGATTCCCTCCCCCGCTTGGCCCATTGGTCATATGCCTCGTGCCTAGTACAGATACCGCAACGACTACGATTTTCGTTGTCCCTACACTGCTCCAGTTGACACGATCAATGAGTAGAAAGCAATGCCGACCAGAGTAATTGTCAGACATATGCATGGTAACGCATGCTGGAGCTAGGTTATATACAAATAGAGAACCCTGCGCAATACGGCTTTTCATTTTTGTAAGAAGCAAGAGTCCCGCCACTATAAAGGAAATGCCACACAAAACTCAGGGGCCCCTCAGTTCTATTTCATTCAGAGAAGGGCTGGTCGCGGCAAACGCAACGCAACAAGTGGCACCTTTTGATGTAGACTTACTCGTGCTTCTTTGTCAGCATACCTTCCAAAACGTAAGAGTCAGTCCACGAATTGAAACATTCCTGGGTTCAATAATAAAAAAGGTTTTGAGTGTGGAAAAGCATTAGACACTCAAGACAAAGACTGCATCTATTCCCAGTACCTATGACTGAAAAGTTTACAAACAGTTACGATCTGACAATATGTAAATCCAAGAAAGGACCATCTCCTTTCCGTTTCGTTGCAGAGAGGGAATTATAACGGAAGGCTCCTGTGAGACATATATTTTCGTCATACTTTTAAAGCGGCTGTCCACTCGAGACTCTCTCGCCTCGTTCCTCTTTCATGCGGGACTACAGTATATCTATCAGACACGGTGCGCTGTATCACCGGTCATGAAGTTCCCTACTCACTGACCGGCAGTATTATCTTCGGCAGAGCAAGAAGTGGCTTCAAATGTGCGCCGAAAAAAAAACGACATGATGGTCTGGCATGCTGTTCCTTTCATAGTAGGTAAATGGGGGTTGCGGTAAATGGCGTGTGTGGATCATTTATTTGATATATTCGTCTTCAGTTAGGTTGACTATACCTGTCTACGGTCGTTCGAATTTACAGTGAGACTCATTGAAAAAGTTGTGATCTCTCGAAACAGATACCTTTCTGATCATGAACAATTGTCTCCCCCGAGGTGCTGAGCGAAGCACTCAACAAGCTTACCAGGGTGTCGCGAGAACTTAGCTACCCAAAAGCACAGGTTTCAACGGGCGTTAGGGAACCTGTCCTATTGCACCTTCACCATTTGAAACAACTACATACGCTTCGTCAATTCAAAGTAACCATGATTCACATAAAATTGCTCGGTTCTTAGGGACGGAATCTTCTATGGGTATTTGTGTAACAGAATTTGAACAAGAAGTAGGGAGCAAGCATTCTCCAGATGCGGTGTATAGGAAGTCCATCAAAAAGAAGTCATTGTCCGGACACGGAAGCACAAGAGTCCTGAATTGACTGAACCCTGCTATGGTAATTGGAGGCTGCGCACCTTCATCAATCTAAAGGTTGGCTATGCATCAGAATAGAACCTGTCTTCCACTTTCAAATAAGACCTAAAGAAAGTCCATTTGCGGGATGAACTACTTTCAAAGCTGACTTATACATTCATGGCAGTGGAATATGGGAATGTCGGTCTTCGATCTTTGGCCGTGTAATAGTGCTGCAGTCCTAAATTTTGTCGTATCAGCTTTAAAAAGTGATGAGGTTTATACCAGTACGAAGAAAATGTACAAACTACTCATTTATGTACATTGGCATGACTCTGCTGCTTTATTTGGACAGAGTAGGAATTCCACACGTTTGTCCTACAGCACCGCACAGCTTGTGGCGTGCCCAAGAAGACTCAGAAAGCGTGCTTTTACTTGTTTATTTTACTTCAGTGGGAGAATTCTATGATGTATTTGTCAAGAGCCAACTTCTTTTGCACTTATTGTGAAATGGGCACTCGTATACCAACGAGATCGGAAACATCTCGATACGACTCTTGCAATAGTACGAGCAACTTGGAAGACCACCGTCGTTATACTGGTTTGATGCTTCAGAATGCTTATTAATGTAGTTGTCCAGTTCTCTTTGATTTCTACTACAGCATATGAGAAACCGCAGACGCAGCAGTAAAAGAGAGTCGAGACGGGGCTTCCTTATGGTACAAGGCATCTCGTTCCTTCAAACTTTGTACAAGGACTACTGTGAGATTTGATCCATGAGGGCAGTGCGGTTATTGTCAACCCCTTTAAAGAATGCAGCACATGCCATTGGACAGAGCTGTCCCTCACTTACCTTGGGTCACATATCATTGTGCAGCCGTACGTCAATCACATTGGTTACATGCCCTCCAGAAATTGTACACTACGAAGAGCAAATATGCAGCCGACTGTCCCCTGTACAGTATATAAAGAAAGAACAGGGGCCATCCGCTTTGACGCTCCGAAAATTTGCCCATTTAAAAAAGCTGCGTTAGTCATGAGCTCTGTGCTGCACAATAAGTAATAAAATCAACGAGATTATCTTGTTGTCCTGTGACGGACATCGTTCCTACGCGAGAGGCTGGCTTCGGTGCAGCATAAACATGTCTGTCAGAGTACTGTGATGTAACCTTTTTCTACGACGAAGCCATCCTCACATTCTATCCATTGTGAATGTAGCAAGCGACTAAAAATCACTGTGTACAGTCTAGCCTCGTATTGAAGACATGCAGACCCACGTGCAATCCCCCCGTTCTTGTCGCTGAAACATTAGTCTCGCGCTCGCGCCTTCTTTCCTGCTGTCAAGTTGCTATCACAAGACTAGAGTCTTAAATCCATACACAGCTTCATAAATAAGTTCGGCTTTCATCGGCATTAATTGAAGGAATTGAACTTTTTCTACACAGTAACCATGTAGTATATTGCGATTTGCAACATGCCAAAAATTCTGTCCCCATCGCCGTACACATTGCACTCGGAATAGTGGATCTAATACGTTTTCCTTCTGTCGTTGAATTAAAGTTTCGGAATGATATCGAACCGACGAAGATGTTGGTTCGCATTCTCTGAATCGTTTTATTACATACCCAGTCCTCTGGTTTTCACATCGCCTGTCTGACTGAATTCAAGGTCAATTGCCATCTCGCCTCCTTCCCAACTACCCGGACTAACTCATTCATACTGTTAGAACACGACTGGGCATCTCACCGATAAAGTCCACTGAAGTGGCAGCGGGAATCTTATTGTTTTTGTGCATTACTGTATTCGTTTACTTTAGAAATGTTCCATCGTACGGGATTTTGCAGGCCAGCTGCATTCATGTGTATACTCATATCGTTCTCTGTAAATGCATCAGTGTGTGGGTTAACGATCGGCGTCTAACTTACGTTTTAATTCTTCTGAATTCTTCGTTGAATCTTTGAACGTCTTCACCTAATACAGTGTAGAGATTTTATGTGGTCGACATGCACTTCCATGCTGTGAATAGTGTTGAAAAAACAAGATGACGTTTATTACTTAGTGAACCTCTACGCGTAAATACCTACAGCGAATGATTACCCGAATGATTATACCGCCCGAAGGGGAAAATTCGCAATTGTTCTCCGCCTTCGCGTGGCGCGACTTGTCAGTACCTAGTGTCTAGGTGACAAATGGCCTCATATGAGGCCAGTTTTTAGGCGGGCTTTTGCAATTCGAATAATTGTAGAACTTTATCGCTACTGTAGTGAAAAGCTTACGACTAGAGTACTAAACGTTGGCAAACCAGAAAACATTCAATTCCGTATCTCAGTCTTCCCTAATCAACACTTTCGTCTTCCTCTTCCCAAAATTTCTTCAAAATGGTGAGCGTCAATGATCCTCGAATTATTGCAGGAAACCGCGTCCACACTCGTGCAAGACTGCTCACAGCTCAGAGTAAATGTCGTCGCATGTATGGAGCCGCCTGGAAGATCTAGTCGGTCACGGGAACTGTCATTGGGATGAAAACTGACAAAGTGAAGGGTCGCAGTGTCACTTCAGTCAGGGCTAAATGGGAATTATCAGATGGCGTCAAGGAAGTCACGCTTC